AGCCATAAAATATTCTTTAATTCTGAAACTTCTAAACACTCTTTAAGTCACAAGCAGAACTGATATATAAATGTGCAAATAACATCTTCTAGTAGCGATATGAGAGTTAAATAAACTTATCTGCCCCGAATTGTACCTTACAAATGAACCTGTTAAGACAAGGGACTTCTTGCACGTTTTTGACCAAAGAAATCTCAAGTAAATCTCTTTTGCCACACCTAAAACAGTTTTCGCAGATCGTCTACGTTTGCGATGAAGCTCAATGTCTTATTTGGTTTATATTACGTTCTATCAACATCTTGGGTAACTTAAAGACAGTCTCTCGGTGTAAACAAGGTTACTTTATGTAAGGAGTATGTGTGTTTTTGGAGACTGGAATATGTTCGTATAAGCCCTCTTGTGATAGTGCGAAACTGAAGCCGACTTTGTACTGCTACCACGCTGAAGCATACTGTCGAATGCGCCTAGCAAGGTATCTCTTTAAACTTCACCAATATGGATTAAGCAAAAAATAGTAACTACCAATCTAAAAGGCTCTTTGCCAGGGAACAGAATACAAAGTCTTTCTTACAATGGCGACCGCTTAACTAAACGCAAAAAGGGAGACAGGGTCAATGCCTACAGCATAAGGACAGCATGTAAATACTTGCGCCTTAACTGCAGGGCAGTAAACTCATTACGTACGACGAAAACATAGCTATCAATGTATCCCGAGTAAGCATTGAACATAATACATGGTAGCTTCAGTTTTGAAATCAGTGGCATAGTAAGACGTGTAAACTGGACTTTGGATAAAGCATAATGAAATATGATCAAATAAATAAATAAGAATCATAAAAAAAACAGTAAAAGTCTAGGTTCATCTTTTGTTTTTTATTTCATTTTTTAAATTGGGCCTCGATATTATATATTGTTATCGAAAACAAAATATGTCACAGTGGAATCAAAATAGTGTCTAAAGTTCCAGCACTATAAGGATCGTAACAGTATATCAAGGTTTATTTATGCATTTATGTCATGTGAACATGACATTACGACCAAACAAGACAAATGCTACTATGAAAAGAAACATGGTTCACATGGTTTCGACTTAAAGTTGGCCTAAATAAATCGGGAAACACGTTTCTGCAATGACCAAGAAATCTATTTTGAATCAGGTATATCAAATCTTCATAGAGAAGGGGGATATGTCTTCTAAACAGCTTCACAGCTCCTAGCAATTCCTACTTAATGCAAAATATGTACGAAGACAACTTTCCTACTCTGAAAGGAGTTCACTTACGGAAAATCGTATCGTATTCTCTTGTGTATTCGTGTAAATCTTTATTTTATTCTTATGCTGCCAAAGTTTCAAATGTATGTTTGAATTAAGAGTCAGTTGCCATATTGGTATGTTCAAGGGTTTGTACGCCTGCGTCATGTCTCTTCAATTCTACATGTTCCATTAAGTTTACTGTTAACATATTTTTTTTATCTTTTTGGCCTATGACATTACTTAAGTCTTTTTTGATGAATTTCAGCCAGGTACAACAATATTTTCTATTTTCTTTGTTAATCAAGTTTCATTTTCCTTTCTTTATTGTGAATTTCTCGTCATCATCTGAACAAGTTACTGTTGTGTATCACTATTACTTAAGTTTCACAATAACTTTATACATACAAAACACTTAGTTTCATATATGGATGATCCTTTATTCTAATCTCATGACGGCCTGGTGTATTACGCAAATTGGTTCCTGGGAAGCAATGATTTTTTTATTATCCAACTGATTTGGTGAATCAGAAGAAATCTCTCCAAATAAAGCTATTTTCATTCTGTGCGGGCTAGTAGACCAGACATCTGCCAGTTTTTCTTGAATAGATCAGACTCTTTAGGTAATGCGTCCTTCTGGTGTAAGCGTACAGCTGATTGACGAGGCTTTCATCACTTTGATTTGGTTGGTTTCCAAGGTATTCCTTTTTGCATACTTAATACAATATGATAAATATTTGTATAATTCCTTTCAGGTTTTCTCTCTCTTTTTTTCATTTTATACCTATACATTTTGTACTTTTCATCGACACGATTGCAAGTTTTGTCCTTTTTTGTTGATGTTGTAGATTTCATACAATGCACTTGTATTATGTTAAGATATCAGCGGTTATATCTTTACCGTTGTGCTGATGGTGTCAAGTATTTTCTGACATATATGCTGACCTTCTTAAATTTTTTCTCCGATAGTCTTGATTGATTCCGTGATATCATTTTGATATTATTGAAGATTCCTTATAAGTGCTCTCCTGATCAGTAATTATACCATTTTTATATTGATACCGAATCACGTATTTTTCTTTCATACACAATATGAAAATTCCATTATAGGATCAATACACGCAGCAATCAAGCTTTGTTCAACTAAAAAAATATTTCCAAGGAGATATTTAAATTTTTCCTTAATTACTTGTACTTTTGGAGACTACAGTTTATACATCTGCGTACAAATGCATCAGTGCTCTCTGATAATGTCGATTGTTCTTTCGTGTCTGCTGTAGTGTAAATAAACATTGTGTTGCCACGGCCATATGTGGAACTTGATAACAATGAGGGACGGAAATCTCGTTAATTCACAACACGCAGTGTAAACATTAATTCTAAGAATATAATTTCCACACGTCCATATGGATCAATCATATAACAATGGGAACGAAACCAATTCCAAGCGTTCTAGGAATCCTGACTTCAGGTCTAAAAGGTCTCTATCAAAAACCATCTCTGGGGGCGCTGATCTATGGCTTTTATAGATTCATTTCGATCCATTTAATGCTCAATTATTGATATAACAAATATTTTTGGTTTTCATTTGAAATCATTTCATCCCTAATGGGTCTTATATTGAATATGATTTGACAATCGATACGCCCCATAAACCTCGGAATACACACTTATACAATTTAGGGAGACAGTGGTTCATGTATGTGTTATAAGACTGCATTCAGACATAGCTTGTTGCACTGTAATGTGTAATCTTTTAAAACAGGTATCATAGAGAGCACTGGGTCAGCATTCACATTATAAATCTTCATTAAACGATCTTTTTAAAGAATCAGTTGTGTAATTAATAAATGTGTAAATGTAAAGAATTCTTATATTTTCTGATACCAATATATCAAAAATGTTTTTTTAAAAATTCCGATTGCAATATGCTATGCAGGAATTAATCTAGACAAATATTACCATCCGAAAAGGTAGTATTCCAAAAGTTGTATAAGTTTCCTTGCGATTTCACTATCAAGAAGAACATACTGAAAACATAGAAAAGACTTTCTCAAAATGAAAAATAATTAGTCTATTTCTAGTAAATATATTTTCCTATTCTGCCGTCATAAAAGTAATATTAATCTAACTTCAACATTGTCACGTTTTATTCATGTAATCTTCATTTATAGTGTACATTTTATCCTAGGTTTTTTCTGAATTCTGACTCAAACTCTGTCCCAATTGGCAAAAGTACTCCCTTTTCAACAAATGGTTATGTTCCCCAATTTGAAGATTATTCATGTATTCCGTTTACGTCAATGATAGCATACATACAATGCAGTATATGCGATCGTGTATGTTACACCATAATTGGAATTACATGTCGTAAATCTACTGTACAGAAAATGTTGTATCACCATAGATATCAGAATATTGACATGGTCGCTTGGACCTCTGAACACTGTTTCAATGTCTAATGATTTCATTCTAATGTACATGACTTTGAACATAAAAAGGTTTTGTTGTCGCTATATTAATCCGTAGATTTATTTAATGGTTTAATGAAAGAACTGGGTGTTTAGAAGAAAAAAAACGTAATTAGAAAATAATATATTTTCGAGTGGGATATGAAGCTGGACGTATTTGATACCTATTGGTTACGTTGTTGTTAGACTTATTCTCATTTGAGATCGAACAAACTGTACTTCGATTAGCCAATATTTCATTGGCGGGTGTCGTAAATAAAACGTTTTTCAATGGTCTCCGTATAAATCGTTCTTTTATCATTGTTTCATCGGCTTCAAATTTGAATTAAGATTGTTTCGGCATTTACTGTGCGGTTTTAAATTATAGAAGCTTATTATCCGAATATTTATTGATTCATGTGTTCGTGATCGTGTGAAGAATTTCTTCATTGTTTCTGAAGTCAATATTATGTTTTCACTATTCGAGTGTAAAAAATATAGAATATTATCTCATGTCCACAGCCTATGTATAAACTACAATAAATTATATCATCCATTTAATCACTCAATAAGCCAAAACTACAATAAATTATATCATCCATTTAATCACTCAATAAGCCAGTTATGCTAGTCAAATGTTTTGTGATTATGCAGAAACTCATGTCACGGCGTTCCATGGACCGCCAAGATAATTTATCTTAAGTGAAATCATTCCAAGGGTTTAGATATTACAATAACACTCATGCATTTGTCCTAGAAAAAATATGCGTAATTTGATTTTAGACAGAATATGAAATCTGCCAATACTGCTTGTGTTTGGTTATGACAGATAAACAAATCGGATGGACATTTTATCATTATGACCTGGTGGCTTGTGTCATACAAGCTTATTTATATGCATTGTATCTCTGTTAACGTTTAGACTGTGTGTCAGCTCTACAAATACGATAGACCACTCTTAGTATGATTTTTACAAAACCAAGTATTGAAGCAAAATATATATATGGCTAAATCAAGTAATTTTAGAAATTGAATTGGCACGTGCTGTTTACGATATTATAATATTCTATTTCTTTGTATTGGTTTCGTTTATTTATACATTGTTCTCATTTGAGAACATGACATTACTTACTTGGATTGTCCACACTGTTTACATGGCGAGTGCCATCGACAAAGAAGAAGACACTTACTCTTCCGGAACACCCGGTCTTATGTTGTGCTTTTGCAGGAGTCATTGTAAATCTTCTTTTGTTCTTTTTTGTCCTAGTTTTTACCTCTAAATCTGTTTTATATTCTAGGAAATGAGTACTGCAATGCGACCATGGACCGACTTGGTGGATGCTGGAACTATACTCGTGCTGGCAGCGTGGCTACCATACAGTGTCCATTTACAAACCAAATTGGTAAAACGTGTCTTATCTATTAATATTATTTTACAAGCAGTACAAATATGCCTCCAACTGACGTATCTGACCAAATACGAACTCAATATTAAATCTACACATTGTGCCCTTCTCTTACCTTTATCATTTAATCATGAACCGTAAAATACAAGTCATTATGTAGTGTGAAAATAGAGAAATAGTTAGATTCCTAGCATAAGAGCACAAATCATCTTGTGCCCGAACTCGAACTCAAGATTAACTATGACCAATTGCAACGCCAGCTGTTGCCATTTTACCGTCGACAGTAGTGACCCCAGGAAACTGTATTATGTCATTTAGTCCTTAAATCAGATTCAAATTGTTGCTTTCACTTAGATTAATGGACGTTGTCGTCATACCAGCGATAAATCCACATATAACGTCATTGTTATATAGTTTATACTGTTTCGCCAGCAAAATAATTGATTTATGATAAGATACATATTAATAGAGAAGGTCTGGAGTAGACAATTAATTGGTGATTGATGTGAAAATATAATGAAAATAAAGATGTATGTCTGGTTTGGCAACATTATTACATGCTATTTCAGTCTCCTTTAATGAGGTATTGCCGTTTTACACCCTATAAGGATAACTTTGGTGAAGACAGGTAAAGTTACATATCATGGTTATAAACACCACCAAATTTACTGATCAAAGTCGCAGATTAAAAATAATATATGGTTTTTGCCACGTGTTGAGGAGAACTAGCATGTCACTTAACACGAGTGTTGCATGACAGAACATAATACGAACGAGATTTATTGGTAAAAGGAAAGTCTCATTTACAGAAGACTCTGATCCTTGGATAAAAATATATAGGAAAATTTATTTATCATTTCCTAGTTGGAAGTTGGCAGTGATGTACAATTCTTCCTTCACCTTGTCTAGGGTGAGAGGTAATTGCTCTGAGAAGTAACTGACACATACACATATTCACCAGAAGAACCCTCGCCTTCCAGGTATCAGATGAGCCATGGGTCCAGTTAAAATTTCCTGAGTTATCTTTATAATAATATATTGTTTCATTGAAGTGTCACGTGTTAGTTCTAACAAGGTTGATACAATATAAACAAATACAGAGTTTGATAATAATGTCATAAGTATCAAACACTTTCAGATAAAAGATCGTGATGTTACAATGTTGGTAATTTCCCGTTGTGATGTTGAAACACCAACAGAAAAGTCTATATTTTGTTTTGTTTAGAACATTATAAATAATGTCCTCTTATACACTTCAATAAAGGAAACACATTGTTTATTTGTCCTTCTATCATTGCTGTGTATCTCAGAAACATATGAGGTATCGAACAATGTCGAAATTCTTAACAAGGTACATTTACAGTGTATAAATAAGGCTAATAGTTCGTTACTTCTACTTATTCACATATAAAAACCGATCGTTTGTGTTCGATATTTTCAACGTTGTTTTCTCATCAAAAAGGAAGTTAAGTGAGGGGAAATCGCAAGTTCACAAGACTTTCATACGAGGTTAAGGAAAGTTGCCAAAAAGTTTCATTTCTGGTCAGTCGGTGACTCTCTAAAATACATTCTTTAAATTAATTTGATTTTGAATTTTAAAAAAAAATGCTAATGAGCCGCAGGGCTGAATGTAAAAATAAAATTGAAGTGGACCTCATCTCAGTTTGCATAGTGAAGGTATAGACTTTGTGATTTTTTTAATATTCCAGGCGCAACAGTATCTCGAACATGTACAGAGAACGGTTCCTGGTGGCTTCCTCCAAACTACAGTTCACCAAATTACATCGATTTCTCAAGCTGTAATGAGAAAACGGAGACGAAGGTAATCATTTATTATAAAGACACAAGAGAGAATATAATCTATGTTGTTGCGAACGCCCATTATTCAACGTTTATGTAGTTTGTGTACAGTATAGAAAATGCCCAGACGCAGAAACAGAAAACATATTTTGTATGCCTCTGCAATACGTCAATAGTTCTGGACATGCAATTCTAGAAAGCAGCATATGTATTTCGGGAGTTTACCTGTTATCTATTCCCTATGTGTTGTTTGCTTTACTTCAATAGATTTTATGTTTACCCCATTTTAAAATAATATCCCCAATTTCATGGATATCTTCAATTCAATTCAGTTAGATTCAAACAGAGCAAAGCCAAAATACAATTTACACGATAAAAGCACCATACTAAAAGGTAAAGATAACAGCAATCTAATACGAAACAGTTTATAAAGGGAAATCTCGGAATATATTCCCTACATTGGTTCTTTGTCTATTTATAGATAAGAGGTACAGTAACAAGGGAAAGGAAATGGTCACTCCTTAGGACCGCGGTGACTATCATCACTTTTTATGTTACAATTTATCCGTACTGGTTGACATGAAATTTTTGACAATATAATATATCCACCATTCATTATCAGTGTGTGTTCCATTTTAGCAGCTGAACATAATGACCTGTCACGCTGCTGACCTTAAGCTTGAATATTCATGTCGGGTTATTTGATATGTAGGTATGCCTATCACCTGTTTGTTAGACAATCAGAATCCAAAACAATCCAAATTATGTATCTTTTCAGGGATAAGCATTTTTATGTTTTGATGAAGCAGCATTAGCCTATCTTGCAGTGCTAAAAGTGTGATGAAAAGGGTTTTCTTTCATCCAATCGTCTACATTTCAAGCTTTTTTGAAATACACTTCCTCTGTTCAAGATTTTGTTCAAAGAAGACAGACAAACCCGTAACACAGGGTTTTAAATTTTGCAGATTGATGGAAAATATTGGAAAGTTTTACGGTCGTCGTGGTGATTTCATTGAGAAATATTCCGTTTCTTTTCGCGATATGAAGCTCTACATATGTGGATGCTTCGTCATTTTACCTGTTGGTTCCGTTGTGGTATGCCTTGTTCTCGTTTGAGAATGTAACATTACTTACATGTACTTGAATTGACCAAGATGTACATGACGGGTGTCATTGGTGAAGCAGAATATGCTAACCCTTACTTGGTCTAATTATCCTTGTACAAGTTAAGGAGTCTACTTGTAGATTTTTCTCTTATACATACTTTGCCCTGTTTTTTTTTTTTTTTTTTTTATTTTCTTCTTCTTTTTTAGTTTGGATTATGTTTATGTTGACATTTTGGTATTTTCTTGGTTTTTTTCTGTTACAGGAAATAGCCGAACATCGTCACATTTTCCTCTTCATCGCTGGTTATTCCTTATCTATAGTTCTACTGACGGTGTCCCTTGTCGTTTTCTTGTGCTACAAGTGAGTATACAAAACCACATGTAAAAGTCTTCAAAACCTCTTTTTCCGCACTTGAACGCAATTGCACGACATGTCGTTGTTTAAATAAATGCCTTACCACTAAGTTAAAGGTATATTCCCTCTGTCAGGCATGAACATAATGACGTTTATTCTCTACTTTAAAACTGTCAACTCCTTTACAAATTCTCCGACCTCGAAGACAGACAACATCATCTTCTTGAGCATTGATATAGACTTCCAATCTCCTATAACTGAGATCTAGAGTAGCCAACATTTTTTTTAATTTAGAAAAGAAATCAACAATGTAAATTTTCGTGTTGCCATTGGTGCCTTACCTGATGAACTCTCACTCTTTAGAGAGACATCTTATCACCTGACTAAATGGCAAATTCCAACCTCGTTTCATGTTGCCTGAGATGGTAAGGTAACATGTATCCTTAACTCATTAAACGACATTTTCGGATGACACGTAGAAATACATCTTATATATTTTTAGCCCCAGCCGAAAAAAAGAAAGCATCGGGAGTGATAACCATATTAAACTACAGGCACCAGCCGATAGACGCTAACTTGTTTTCGTAACTAACGACTGCGCCGCTATTTTAGATTTATAGAATGACCGCAGGTCACGTTCTCTGTGTTTCTTTATGTCTCGATTGCAGGCAATATCAAGGCAAGTCAGGCAGTAAACGAGTGAGAATATTAAATGTAGATGTTTTAAACCTAAGAATAGCATAGCATGTCGATGACAGTAATTTACCATAGTATATAAGTATGTATACAGATGTTTGTTTGAGATACCCAAGGGTCAACTTTTCGCCTTTTCCATCCACCACCGTTAGCTCTCCAAGCCTGTCAGGAGGGTCAGATTGTGAAAAATACATCACAGCATATCTACACATTTAGAAAAAGATTTCAAATATAAGATGTTCCGAAAATATGAAAATTTTGAAATAATCGCTGCATTTTGGGATAATTTCAGGAAAAATTGTAATCTGACTGTATTTTGATAAGAATAAGAAAATGTACATGAACCATGTTTTAATCATTTCCGGAAGACGTTAGAGATTTTTGGTACACATTTATGTTCGTTCGCAATAGCACTGCGTTCCTTCGTTAATGTTATTGGTTTATTTTCTTTATCCGAATACAAAGTGTTTCAAACGGAAAAAGGCAACATCCCTCAGTGATAACATGTTCACCATTGGTACCTATTTTCATGAGAAAATGAAAATATCTTAATGAATAATTAAAAATAATTAATTCATTAAAGAAAATGATTAAATCTGTCTATCGTTTTGTAGTTAGAATTTTGTATGTGTTTGGACCAATTATAATTTTCTTCGGTCACCTCCTAGTTGTGCGCTCTGCGTTGTATTTATGGCTATTTTGTATTGAAACGTGTCACTCATTGTGTGTTTTGTCAACGTCCTCTCCTCCTAATCAGTTTACATTAAATTTGATTGACAAATGAACTTGCCAGACACAAATTTATTACAAATATACATTTGTGTCCAGTGTTAGCTGTTATTTACTAAGTGACTCCCCAGATACCTGAACTCTCTGTTGGTTAACGAGACTTGATTAGATGTCATGCCTATGGGGGTACTAATTGTAGCTTTTCACGGTGTTATTCTCCCATGAGTCATATTGTCCTCAGTGGACGCCGCTATTGTATTAACTCTGTGTACTATGGTGCGCATTATGACCAAGGATGTAGACGCCATGATGCCTCTAATGTTAAGTAACGCGTGTTTGATGAATCAAGTCAAACCTCCATGTTGCGTTACATAATGACCTTTACCTACGGTTTAGCGTTACCGAACAATGTAATAGATAACCGGTTAATGTTCCAATAAACGGCGAACAAAGAATATGTATATATGTTTTCAGTGGATCTATAACGTAAAAATCCTTTCATTATTTTCATTCAATCTAATTGAGACTCAACAAAAACCTGATATCTCTTTTGAACAGGACACTTTCCTGTTAAAGGGTATCACGTCGATCTAGTAAAAACAGAAAAAAAATGACGTCATTGTTATATCTTAGGATGAATCTGAAAGCCAGAGAGTACAAGAGAAGAAAGTGTCAAATTTTGTGATAAATGATTGAAAAGTGACTGTTTTTACCGTAAATCCATTCCATTTTTTGCGTTTTGATTGAGTCTATTATAACCTATCAATGATTTTGTATATTTCAGACAACTGAGATGTGGCCGAGTGTCCATTCACAAAAACCTTTTCCTATCCTATGTCTTTACCGGAATAACATGGATTCTCTATTACTCGTTAGTGGCTATGGACGGACAAGTGATGTTCGAAAACTCAGTATGTATCAGCATGTATTGCCTATCAGTATGTATTGCCTATCAGTATGTATTGCCTGTCAGTATGTATTATCTATCAATATTGCCTATCAGTATGTATTGCCTATCAGTATGTTGCCAATCAGTATGTATTGCCTATCAGTATGTATTGCCTATCAGTATGTATTGCCTATTGCCTACCAGTATGTATTGCATATCAGTATGTATTGCCTATTGCCTATCAGTATGTATTGCCTATTGTCTATCAACATCAGTATATATTGCCTATCAGTATGTATTATCTATCGATATTGCCTATCAGTATGTATTGCCTATTGTCTATCAACATGTATTGCCTATTGCCTATCAGTATGTATTGCCTATCAGTATGTTGCCTATTGTCTATCAACATGTATTGCCTATTGCCTATCAGTATGTATTGCCTATCAGTATATATTGCCTATCAGTATGTATTGCTCATCAGTATGTATTGCCTGTCAGTATGTATTGCCTATCAGTATGTATTACCTATCAGTATGTATTGACTATCAGTATGTATTACCTATCAGTATGTATTGCCTATCATTATGTATCAAAGCCCAAAGATATGCGTCATTTTGCAAATGTACGAAAATTTCTGAGAAAAACCCCAGATGATAAGTTTATCATAATTATGCAAAGATCAGATTAAAATATACCTAAGCCGAAAAGTATCCATTAAGAAACACGTTTGGGAATATCACAACAATAATATATATATGTATATATAAGTAAGCCCGTTTGGAATACAAACTGATTGTAATTCACATGGTCGTAAAAAACGTGATCTTTGTTCATACTGAAATGTGCATCGCATGGTAAACACATTTACTGGTGAAGTGTGATATTTTTAGTGTTGGGCGCAATTCGTGGCGTTACACCACAGGTTTAATGCAGGTGTTTAACCAGTTGAGGGTTCGCTGTGTAGTCCGAATATGACGTGTACGTTTTTAAAGTAAATATCGACCTGTAACGTTTAGTCAAATATTATAATTGGCGACATGTTTATAAACATAAATACCAGCAGCTGGTTAAGTGCTGCAGTATATCAATATTAATATCTTCTGAAGTTTTTCTCAGATCAGTTACTTTTTACTGAATTGGTATGAATATATTTTATTTTCTCTTCTCTTCTTCAGCAAAAGTTGCGTATATTGAGGCTTTAAACTGTACTCATTTCATATCTTGAATAGTTTTAATTAATTCTGATCTCGATCATTTCATACAAAGAAACCAAACAAGGTAATGTTTCAACTAAACCGTACGACCACTTTATAGGGGACGTCTCTATATTACTATTGTCATGAGTTATTCATCAGTGATCACGTGACACCGACTGATCACTGTCGAACCGAAAATGCAATATCGTTTACAGCGTACTTAATAACAAACGTTTTTATGGAAAAGATATTTCTTTCACCTTATTTTAACGGTTTGTTTTATATGAATGCATCAAACCGACATAAAATGTCTCGTAGTTTATGAGCTGACTTGGTATTATCAGTAGGCTTGGTATCATCAGAGGCTTGGTAACATCAGTAAGTCTTGGCATCATCAGTAAGGCTTGGTATCATCAGTAAGGTTTGGCATCATCAGTAAAATGTCTGACATATAACTAAATTTTTGACATTTTAATAAACAATAAACTGGCAAGTTACCCAATAATGACAGCGAAACAAAATTGATTCATGAAATGAAGTGAAATCGATTGGGGATAATATCAACCCTATCGCATTATTATCAGCTTTAATATAACTTTTATTATTCCACATTGTATATTACATTGTTCAATAAACGACCGTTGTTTTGTTTGAATATAAGATTTTATAAATAAACGACCGTTGTTTTGTTTGAATATAAAATTATTATTTCTATGATATGGTATGAAAATGTAGTTTTTAATAGGTGGATCGTGTTATCATCGTCATCTTTTCATGACGTAATAACCTGGTTTATTCTTATACACGTTTTAAAAACTTGTTGGAAATTTAATTAACACAAAAACAAAACCATTATTATGTCTTTTGTAACGTTGATATGACAGTATGCAGTTATGTGTTTACTATCCCCGTACATTTTGATGTTAAAGTATATAATTATATACACACAAAAAAATAGTATAAGCTTAATCTAGAAATGTTTTACTATTTTGAAATAATTTCCTTTTTTTCCTTTTGTAGCTGTGGTGCCAGATCCTTCGGGTGCTGGCGGAGTATTTCACGGGTTGTAATTTTGCGTGGATGTTTTGTGAAGGCCTGTATCTCCATACAACCTTACTGAAGGCACTGAGCACAGGCAAAACTCTCCTCCTTGTCTGCTACGCTACTGGATGGGGTAAGTTATCAAAATGCATTGTAATCTTATTTCAAACTGAAAACTAAAACTTCCAAAATGTACAGAAGAGATGTGTAGTATCTTCCGGAAATTTTGAACAATTTCAAATACCTTGGACTTTAAGCAATATGGCAGAGCGGAGATGTGTGAAATCAGGAACGAGACGCTTGAAGTTCTAAGGCATTGCGCGTGGAACGTAAAGACAGAATGAATATTTTCTTCTCTCTAAGTACGTTATGTAAAACATTGAAACGCATCACTAGAATTCGGTATTGGTTCTATACAGTTTGTAGATGTAACGAAGTGCAGAAGTTAGTATAAATTGAAGCTGAGGACAAAGTCTTTCCAGCAGACAATAACAGCTAATACACTCAGCATCACTGGGAAATTTTGTCACCTTCAATAATGTTATGAAATAATGTTGTCTAGATAATTATGATAATTTCCTCATGTCTTATTCACATTTGCATACTTACATTTGTACCCCAATATATGAAAATTGACAAGTTCAGGGTCAGACCGTTTTTATATGTAATGTGATATTACCTCAGGGGTTTTTATCACATAAAAGCCTGAGTTAGCAATAATTTTATTAATCCGTAAACAGTGGTATTCATCATTCATATTTAATTGTCATCTGACAGTAAATCGTAATTTTGATTATATGAAAACCTCAATTAACAACAATTTAATTTCATATTTATTTTTATCTGTAATCAGATTTTGTCTTGTGACGTTATCAGTGGTTTAATGTTTCCTTACATTCACATGAACCGCGGGAAGTCACGTGATCTGAAATGAAAACTGCCCGGAGTAGAGCGTCAAGGATTTCTTCATTAATTTCCCAAGACACGTGACGTGATCAAAATAACGGAAGACCCACTTTCGCGAAAAATGTTCACATGACATGCAGTGCTATCAAATTAAGAATGGTCAACCAATTAGTGGTTCTCAGTAATGTTTAGAGGCCATTTCACGATCACATAGCCACGAAATACGGAACTAAATCATTTTGTTGAATGTTGTGAAATAACATTGTACATTTTGTCATACCCGGAAGGAATCGTCATTGACTTGACTCATGCCCTCTGTGTTTTTTTCTTGTTACAAGCTGATTCTATAACGTGTTTCTACTAAAAACATCCATTTTTTTTTTACATTTACAACCTAATTTCTTGATTACACACAAAATAAACAGTGACGGGATCTCGTAATCTTATGGTCAAGAATCGGTCGCACTTCATAGTAATACAATGTTTTATTTTTTTTTTTTTCAAATGGGAAGATATTTTTGAAAGTTGTGTTCCAGTATGCCAATAAAGTACATCTGTATTTGAATACATAATGTTCAAGTTGTAAATTGTTGCTGTTAGATATCAGATTATGTGTCAAGAATTATGGTATATATGTGTTGATAGTATTTGTGTACTTTGCAAGTTTTGTGAGTGATAATATTTAAGTTGAAAGTCTTATGATACGGTTTAACACTACTTTCACGACCGTCATTGTGCCGAATGTGTGAATGAACATAAGTGGAGAATATATTGACAACTGTGAGGGAAATTACAGAAGTGATTGGCTGGTATTTTTTTGTTTTTGTTTTTTGTTTTCTGGTGTTTTTTTTTTTTTTTTGTTTGTTTGTTTGTTTATGTTTTTTTTCTTTTCTTTTTTTAATGTTTAATCTATGTTGTTACTTCCTTGCTATTTAGTTGAATGATTATGATGGTATCAGATTTTTTTTACTTTGTAATCTTGTATGTTGTATATGCTGTATATAGTAAGTAAGGGGTGGGAGTTGTGAAGACCTTCCCAGTGATGTAAGCGTATTTCATTGAATACATAAACATTCGAAACTTGTTCGATCTAAGTAATCGATTTCACAGCTGAGTAACTGTAGTGGAAATCACACCGTTACGCTTCATACATATGTTTACCAACTTCTTCTTACAGCCAAATCATTGTTGTCGTCATGAGCTCGATGATGTCACGATATAGGTCACACGTGACAAAATGGTGTTATGGTCTCGCAACATGAACTTTAATACAGTATAGTAATAGACTGCTAATATGAAAATTTGAATACCGGATAAAGGGATTGACCTCGTTACATTAGTTGACGGTATGTCACCGCTTACGGATCAACTCAAACAATTTAGTTGAGTCAATGTTAATGAGACATTGGCGTGAAATTGTGTGAACGTTGTTAACTATTAGGTTGGTGCATTAAATTGTGATCAATGTATTGATAAGAGGTGCTTGTTTTGCATCCCGATTTATAGCGTTTGGTTTGTGAAGCCTTAAAGACAGTGTTTTGTCGCGTTTGCAAAGTGTTTTCCGGACTCAAGCATAACGATTTGTATTACATGTGAAACGTTTGTTTAACCCAAGTACAGCTTTCTGTAGCGCCTGCGAAGCTTTTTGTGGCTTAACTACTATGTTAAGTTGCGTTTGAAAAACATTTTATGACTAAGTATAACGCTTTGAATCATTTTTGAAGCGTTTGTGTAACTCAAATATAGCATTTTATAGCTCCTGTGAAGCCCTAAGTACAAGGCTTAGTGTCGTTTGCAATCCCTTTTTACAATTCAAGTACAGAGTTTTGTGGTCTTTGTGTAACTTAGCACACCGTATTTTCATATGTGTTTGCTATTTACTGCCAATAATGGGCTTGTGCTGTATGTCAAGTTTGCGTCACAGGTGAAACATTAACAGCTTACTGAGATGTTTATTTTGTAAAACATACGTCAGAATTGCTTAACAAGTCGATCATTACAGATAAATGCAAGCATCGATTCTAAAACTGTAATTCTTTCACTGAAAAATAGATTTTATTATTGCAACGGTAGCTACTTGCCTCCTCGGTTCATAGGTGTTTTCCTTCATGAACAGCAAGAGTGATTGTGAAAGCAGGGTCTGCTATTGATGGTGGTAGACACTACCAGTGGATTAATAGTCCCTGAGGTTTTTTTGCCGTAGCCTTCGTGTCATTTCATTCATCTTAATAGTGGCATCTTCCAGAATACAATCATTTACCTTGCGCTCTTTTAGAATTAACAGACATAAGAAATTTAAAAAATTTACCGTGTAACGGTGCTAGTGCACCTTTCTCATATCGATTTTTACATTTCTTTTGATCTTTAGATTTGGATTTTCCTCTGTAACATCCAAGGTTTAATATTTAGGCACTTAGCATTTCTGATTAACCCTACTGTATCTTCTCTGAATTTGTATTAAATGTACTATTCAGTTGTGCGTCTTTTGTACAATATTTGGTAACTAGTTGCCTCCTCATTGATACCGTTTGACATCAATAACAATTGAAAACACAAGCATGACGACCAATCGGAAAATAACTCCGGCCTTTCCGTCTCTGTTTGTAGCGGAAAGATGGAGCATTTTTCGGATCGGCACGATAAGAAATTACACTGACAGTGGTCGCGTTTCGGGACGATTTTGAAGCAGAGATCAGCTTCCAAATCAATTTCATATAGGGGAGATTTCACCCGGCTATGACATAAAGCTTTGCTGCACTCAACAACAGACGCAGAATGCGTCGAACTTTAACCGTCTTCAATACTCGTTTGAATAAATTCTTCCATAAACAACATAAAATCGCCATTGTATTGTAAATGTTTGCTTTGAAAGCCTTTGTTCATTGGAATAGAGATGGTTTGTATGAAAAAATTCCATTGACCAGAATAACTGAGTTGAGGAGTTTAATTTCCTGTCTAAATGAGGTTACTAGTCCAGAGTACCACTCTAGCATGCACGGATCTTACAGTCCATTCTCTGTAGCGTTGTATTGATTGTGGATTTTTTCCCATGGACTCAATCCCAAATTGATTAAAATATGGAGAATTGGTTCCTTGCTTCCAATTAAAATGGTTTTTTTAAATCCTTATAATGATACGAATTGATCCAATCTAGTGGACAAATAAAATATTTCGTAAAAAGAGAAAAAGTTGGAACTCTTTTATGTCAAACGTATTAGTTTCAAATATTAATATATGAAATACACTTAATTCTATATATAAATATATATATATCAATCGCCCATAAGTAACACTGACTCGCGCTGATTAAGACTGATACTTAATGCTTCAAAACATCACTAATGCTTCAAAGAAAATTCAAATGATTAAAAACTCAATTATATTTTCATCAGTGTATGGATTAGAACAAAGAATAATAAGGCAACTGTTTATATGTTTGGTACATTCTCGACCTAATATTACTGTTGGATATTGTTAACAGAATAACTTCAGTGGTATCAGATCCTCGTGTCATGGTATCCTTTTCTTCCAGTGCTTTCTTCAAATTTATAAATAAATATCTGTATCAAACACATTGCAAAACGAATTTCTTTATGTCAACACTAACTTAATACGTTTGCCTTTCGATGTTTCAAATACCGATATTCTACCTCATCCTGTTAACAGTAACATGTATTGGTTAAAACACATCACCTGACAGGGAAATAAAACATGGAATCTCCCCGGAGCGCGATTGCCGTATTCCATCTGAGTTAATTGTCACCCTTCCTTGTGCTAACATGTTTCATCCTTCGTTCCGTACAATAAACACACAAAGGAAATTGCGTGGGGTTTATAAACTTTCAAGCCGTCTTGCTGGCATGGCCACAAAGGCTTGTTCCAAAAATATCAGAATAGATAGTCTCGCTCAACCAGACTCGTATTGTCTACACTCGCTACAGTCGATTGTCTGGTCAACGTAAGCCAAAGCGAGACTTACAAGAATTCTGCGCAAAAAAAAACCGATTTCATTGGTCAACACTTTACAAGCCCTTATCCAGATGGCTGCGTCTGCGGCAGCGCCGTCAAAAATCATACAATCTTTTCTTTATTTGTTTCCCTATCAACTGATTCGGCGCCTTTGATTTCCATATGTTATCAATACTATGAGACACAAATTGAGTTGCTTTAAGATCCTTAAGTCAGAAACAACTATTTTGTGTTCATTTTCTAAAGCTAGAGACATCTTAAGGAAAACAGTTTTATATCGATATCGATATTTATGTAGGTCATAAACTGAAGATTAGATGACGTTCACGTTTGGGTAACGATGTCAGTAACGTTACACACAAGGTAAGTTTTTTTAAATTTTTTTTTAATCAACAGTTATGTACCGATTATCTGACTTATACCTTTATCTATTGCAGGCGTCCCAGTGGTTCTAACTGCTATTTACGCCGGGGTACGTGGAAACGCTGACGATTGCACAGCAAGGTAAAAGACAACAAACTTTATCATAACACTATATACAAATAAGCTTACACCCAATGTTCAATGCTTAGCTATGTTTCACCGTAAGCGCAGCACATTGTGCCATTTACAATACGAACACAGTAGTAAGAGCAAAGGATAGTTTTTATTCACTTTTCGCAAATACCTGTATCATGTAACATTACATCTATACGTCTGTATTGACTCTCCACATTTTAATAACATTTTAACATGTATGTAATTAAGGGATGTAAGCGTATATCGCGCAATTAAATCTCACATCTCACAAAATCATTTGCTCAGATAACGGTCAGAGTAAATGTAATGTTATAACATAACACGTGTGTTTATATTGAAAATGCGACTGAAATACAATGCATACTTGAAGAACATTTTCTTCAGCTATGTAATGTGCATGTCAATTCGGCTACACTTTGTTCAACACTTGGTCGCAGATGTGCGAGAGTACGTGGTCACAGTAAGTACTAAACAGGGAACTGGAGGCGACAGACTCTCACATATCTATGACCAAATATCAAACAAAGCGTAGCTGAATTGTCTCAGGTACATTGTATCCATCTAGTGTTATTTATTTATCTATAATATGTTTACCATTTCGTCTCACCATTTTCGAACTTAGTGTACATAGGATTATAGTACAGCTGAAGAAGTTGGTCAATCTTTTACGGTCTCGTACATTACGTACATCAGTGTTTAGTACGCTCCACACTGATCATTTGTCTGGTGGAGGAAACCATGTAGTTATCGAAACGTCACACTCAAAATCTGCCTGAATTGTATTGCATTCCGCGAAAATTTGAATAATAAGTGTTACTTTGTCCTTTACTCTGTACAGATGTTGGATCGACAGTTGTTATCAGTGGATACTGTACGGACCAATCGTCGTATCCCTCGTGGTATGTACACGTCGCACTACGTCACCAAATACGTCACAATGTACATTCAATATCAATAGACATGAAAAGTAACGACAGCACATTTTAATTATCGGCTTTGAAAATTATACATATGATCAATAACTCTTAATTTTCCCAGTGTTTGTATAAGGCCTTTTTTAAGGTAAGATACAGAAATACAGCATTTGAAATCCTAGTCTAATTTCCTTTGGTAAACAGTGCCAATGTTTAATCATACAATTTTCATTCTCCGCATCGCACCTCCTCACCCATCCTTATGAAAAAAAACTCTCTCAATTCGATTTTCTAGCGCATGGATGTGAGCGACTTCGTAAGTCGTACGTAGGAGATCTCAAGGTCAACTTTGATACGGTCTTACTGATGCAAAATAAAAAAAGTTTTTGAACACTCGGTAATGTCGTTTTTGGATGTTTGGTACATTTTCATCCGATACAAGGGAGTTAACTCCCATCTCTAAACATATGGGAAGAGGGGGGAATACTCTGGTCGGTTTAGACACTCTCGTTGTACTTGGTACAAGAATGTACATGGGGATTTACAACTAGATTTTACTACTTACCACGATGGAATTTTGTATAAATATGTTTAGTTCATGTAGAAAGGAAACGCGGACCAAGAACCCTGCCGGTTTCATTAGAGAGAGAGTAATCCCAGAGTTGGATAACTTTAATCTGACCTGATAAATGGACAAAAGAGGCATTGTCCTCACTTCTAATCGAACCGAACACAGTCAGGTCAAACACAGACTTCATGTTCAGATTTTGATGGAGGTCACAGTTATCGTTTGATTCGCAAGTGGAACAATAGTGAAGGATTTCGCCATTACCTGCAACTCCACGCGTACAGCGTCTGACAATCGTGACGATGGATGGTCTTTCATTGATACCAAGAGATGACGATGTTGTCATGACGAGGCACATAAGCAGAGTCCGGCTGGTTCCGACCACGGCTATGTTATAATTCGAGTTGTTGCATTCAAATCACCACAATTTAGCGTAATCGCATTGTTAAGACATTTTAGAGGATTAGATTGACAGTCCGTATGACATATAACGTTTTACATGTAGAAAACTGTAAAATTTTGTATCAAAGGTTGAAATATTTTGTGATTTTACCAATTTTTCAGAGAAGCCATGGAATGAGTGTTTCTTTTTTCTCTATTTTCCATTACCAAGGTGTCTATTTTTCGCAAATTTTGGTCTTCGCGTGAAAAAAGCACTGAACAGTCGAACACTTCGAAAATATCTTCTTTCAGTTCAATGATAAGTTCAGGGACACGCTTAAGTCACAAATTTATTAATTCGCTGTGAGTGTACACGAAATCGAACGCGTTTTGCACGAGACGGACATGTATGCATTCGACCAATCACCGCCGTTACCTGTAAGTGTTGTATTATTGATAGGCAGGAGTCTACATGGGCCGTAAAGTGTAAAATATTTCCTTCGCCAAAGGCATATCCAATTTCAAAGTCTACCAAGTCACGTAATATCCTGTTCATCAGAACAATTAACGATCATTCAAAATGACAGTCTCCTCTCAGGAGTGTACGATAATGTTAACGTAATATATTATAGTACACGAACCGTTTAATATGATAAGCTTGTCTGATAGGATATCACCTAGCTCTATATTAAGAATGCGTGATCCTACATCCCGTGCATCGTATCCCCTCTCATCAAATACTGTCCTTAAACTCAAATGAATCACATTAATTTTCATTTAATTGTGACGATACAGTCATATGCGAACTGCCCCGTGTCTCTAAAATGTTAAACGTTAAATGTTTCAGGGAAATATCATTTTTCTGATCAACATTATAAGATTATTGATGACGAAACTTCAACAAATACCAGAATCCACCCAAAAAAAGTGAGTCATTTTTTTTTTTTTTTTTTTTACATTTTTCCTCAATCCATATTTACGAAACGTTTTGTTTCGATATAAATATTAGATAGCCCTGCGTTGTTTTCTGTGATTTCCTAGGAATTGATATATTTATTCAAGACAAAAAGAAATTTTTAAACGTTTAAAGTGGCTTCATAAACGTATCAAAATGACTCGAAATACACATGTAACTTGTATTTGACATCGTGCAGGTTCTTTGGTCCAGAGTAATTTTTTTTGTAAGGGCTCGTTCGCCTTCAGCTATGTGTTGTTCAACCATTTGAAAGTATGATTTTAATAAACATCGCTTCAACCAATTTATCTGTTATTTCTTTTTATTATATTTTTACTTCAGAAAGGCGGCCAAGGCGATATTTTTACTGGTGCCTTTATTGGGTCTTCAGCACTTGTTGACCCCTATGAAGCCCCAGAAGGGATCCCCGTTAGAGGATTTCTATAGCTATTTCATAGCTATAGTTGTGTCCTTACAAGGAACTTTTGTAGCCGTCATATATTGTTTCTGTAATGGCGAGGTAAGTAGATATCAAAACGATGACGACGACGACGATGATGACGACGACGACGACGACGACGACGATGATCCATGCATTTTGAGTTGAATTTGTTATCCAAAAAGCGTTACACTTGCATTTCACGGGATCACGAGATATGCCAAAAGACTTTCATTATTGAAGATAGAGAAGCTTATTTCACTTAGTACCCTTGACATCTGTAATTTTTAGTACATACCAAAGCAGGCTTTTATATTAATTTTGATGGAAACAAGTTTGAAATTTTTATGACACATTTAGTGATCGTGTTGACATGACTCAAAAGTTGCTCCATAATTCTTTGTCGTTATCGATTCGATGTTTATTTTTGTTACGCCTTGTGAAGTTACATGGAAAAAACATTGTCATTTTACATGTTTACACAAATGCTATTTCGGGAGCCTTGAAATATTTATCGTGGTAAAAGAAGTTTTCGTTGCAGGAACAGTTTTTGATTAAGAAAAATCTTTAGGAAAGTAATTGTCACTAGACAAAAAACTGGGAAAAAAACTTGCTTGTATATATTCGCGAATGTTAACTGTAATATTTATCAATTAATTGGAACCTTCTTATGTTCACAGAAAAGCTTTTAAACACTAAACACACTGAACATCTTGCTTGAGTTTTCCTCCATCCGGCCAAGGCTACGGTCAGCCAGAATCGGACAAGACGGGCGATCAATGATTCGGCTGTCACGTGATGAAAACTACATCACGTATAAGAAATTTGATTACAATTGATTTGATAAGTCCCTTAACAGCCGAAAGAAAGTACCGACATGTCAACAGATTCTCTCTTTTACACGGAGAACCCAGAATGTTCCGAAATGGCAAGGCGACCTTTGCTTCAAAGACGACACCTTTCAATATAAATGTAAATTATGTCACGTTCCCGAATGAAAGCGATGTCAGTGACAACTGAAATACATAGCATACTGATACTCAAAAACGTCCCCCAAGTAGCGATTTAATGTTATGTTATGCTTGATTTATAAATATTTCATGGTTCACTGACTGTATCAACCATAAGGATGTATGCGTGTCACCTTTGCCATTTGTTCTCATTAGGTTAGACTTATCCGAATGTTTTGATGAAGGTTTCTCTGTATACAGGTGATATCGCTATTACGGCGAAAGTGGAGGCAGCACCGCCTGATGAGAGGTGTGGACGTCCGGATCAGCGGAATGAATGCCACATCTTACACGTTCACAGAACCAATGCACGGACATACCAACGGCAAGAAAACTAACAGCGCATGTCCACAGGTAAATGTGCTGCAAATAGCTTTAAACTTTACGATTGACCCAACAGACCATCTGATATTCTGTCAACTGAAACACAATTCTGGCATTCTGAACTTTTGTGTATTAGAAATAACATCACGTAGTAGACAATTTAATGATATTAGGAAAAATATGGTTAAAAAAAGAAGGGCGTGACTGTGTTGTTTTATTTTTTAACTTTACTGAAAAAAAAAAATCCATTTTCGAATATAAAAAAACAAACTGATTAAATATCATTGTCGGGTCATAATATCAAGGGAAGCTTTCCATCCAGTCTGACTACACAAATTTCAATATATATTTCTAGAGTTACAGCCATGAAAAGTGCCCACGCAACCGAAATTCTTTAAAATTATTAACGCTATTCCGAATTCCGACGTAAACTCCTATGTTTTAGCTTATAAAATAATTACAGATTACAAACTATGGAAAAATTGCAAAAGTCTGTGATATAACGTTTTATTTTTTTATTCTTAAAGTATGTCATGTTTCCTATTAAATCTGACTATAATACATCCTAGGTTATGAGTCTTGTGAGTGCTGTAACTATAAAAGGAGACAGGTCCATGTGACTTACTTAATTTTATGTCGAACGTCTCTGATTGGTGATTTTTCTTAATAAAAAATACTTCTGTAATTATACAGATGTTGTTTACACCAGATAATCATTTCGGCAAATCCACATCTCTAGAATGTCCATTCCTATAAGAACTCTTTCATATGTCGGGGTGAAGGGTGAGATATTTCTCCCTCGAGGTCACATTTTGTGTGTCACTCATTTCTCATTTTGAAATATTGGGGAAAAAACTTCAAACGTCATTAATGTACTACAAAGGAAGCCATATAACACGAAAATAATACTATTCATAAAGCAATTAATCGACATGTTGACATAGAAAACGAAAACAAGATCAAAGTATAAACAGTCATTGCAAACAGCTATTGGTACCTGTGTCTCTAGCAAGCGATGACGTCAATAGGGAGTGGTCGTGTATGTAATAACAAGAACAGCGAACCTGGGTGCATTGTCCTGAACAGGTCGGTATTACACAGGTGTACACAACATAAATAACAGATGATAATGGAAATAAGATACACATTACGTAGGTATCAGGCCCCACTTGTATAAAACATCTTAACATGAGATTTCCTCAAGCCCAGATTTTCCTCAGCTAATATCTCCTTGAAAATATCTTGTATGAAAATTCCTCAAGGAATTTCAGGACATCCTAGCCGATGACTTCCTCCTGTTCCTTGAGAAAATTTTATACAAGCCGTTTTTGAGGAGATATCAACTGAGCAAAATCTCGACTTGAGGAAATCTCAAGTTGAAATGTTTTATACAAGTGGGGCCAGGTGTCATAACCAATTCTTTACAAGGTAGCATAGAGATTGTTGGAGTCATGATTTTCCTTTTGGTATTTTTGTTTGTTTTTGCTTTGTTGTTTTGTTTTGTTTTTGTTTTTGTTTTTGTTTTTTTTTTTATTTTTGTTTTGTTTTTTTTTGGTTTGGTTTTTTTTATTCTTATTATGTTTGTGTATGAAATACAAATAGATACAACATCATCACTTGATCAAAATTCCTTCATGAACAATAAGTTGATATGCAAAATCTGTATAAAGAGAACTATTTATTCTCTCTTTTAGAATGGCTTGACTGTCTCATCACTAGAAATGGTTCCACTGAAAAATAAAACAGAGTGTTAACGGGAGAAACTGACTTCAACAATTAGATGACGTCACATGGTCAGCTGTCATCATTCTAGTGATGTAACAAGGCCAACACAACCAATTGGCGCCGTCATTAAATTGTGACGTCACACCATCAACAAACCGAATTTGTCATCAATCTAATGACGTCACATGGCCAACAAAACTGACGCTGTCCCCAACATGGTGACGTTACACAGTGAAGAGAACTGGCGTTTTCATCAATCACGTGACGTCAAACAGGCAACTTCGCTGCTGACAAGGTCATCATTCTATACAAAGTGACGACCAGTTGCCAAGTGTCATCCCGCAGTTAACAAACCTGATGCTGTAGTCAATGTTGCGACGACTCGCAGTCAGAAGAATCGATCGACCCTATCATCAATATAGGCTGATACTCAACAGATTCTGTCATCAGTCTGGCGAAACAGAAATCATCACCCTGGTGGTGATGAGATCTTTTCAGAAATATACTGTGAAACATTTGTAGTATATGTTCATACCAGTCGGTGAACTCGACAGTAAAATTAATATTTAAATTTTGCAGTGGTGATTTGTAGGATACATTGTAACTCATATCCCTCGTACGTGCCCATTTTGTTCCTGGTTTAAATCCTAGTATAGCACTGATCTCGGATAAATTGACATGTTTTGTAAAATAACGTGACTGTTATCATTCCTATGGTGCAATTCGTGGACGTGTGGATTAGCTTGGTATGTGATATACAGGTAAACTGGCTTGCCAAACTGGGTAATAGTCATTGTGCTAATGTCATTATTGTAGCGTGAATATTGCATAACTTGATATATCTATCAATGGTCCAGATTATGCAATCAGAAATACATAAATTATCAATTCCACGTGTCCTTTATTTCAGATATGTGTTTAAATCATTAAAACTATCAAGCAAGAATTTCTGTATATATGATAAAAAATTTAACAAACATTTTTAGGATTTTATTGAAATGTTTTTGAAAATATCCACAAAGGCAAAACGGTATTTCAAATTTCATTTCTGGTTGCTCCTTTTTCTGAAGTCACGCCATGATTGGATGTTTGATTTTGTTTGTTTGTTTGTTTGTTTTGGTTTTTTTGTGAAATGTATGTTTGCTAAATTGGCTGTTTGTTTATTGAAATTAAATATTGAAGTATTGTATTTGTGAAATCTCGTATGAACTGTGTACTTTTTATTTAGACGAAATAAAAGATGTCAATGTTTAGTGCCATTCAAAAGTATATTGTTCTTTTGAAATAATTCAATTGAGATGGTTGAAAGTAAAATCTTTGGAATTGTCAGCCTGTTGGCCACATTTTATCGAGATCTAAACTTTAGATATGCTCTATTGCATGTCAGATCACGAAATCAACAATGGAATTTACCAGCAATATTTCCTCAGGGAAAACACTATCGAAATCTCCCCCGCGACTGGCAAATTCTTATTGTTAACTCGGAACAGTAGTCCTATATTTGTAATCCTCAGTAACCAAAACAAAAATGAAGACGAATTTCATATGTATAATGGTCGAATTTTATTATAAAAAGGAAAAAAATGTTAATCCGGATACGATTTTGATGATACACGACTTTTAAATTTATAATCTATTTAGTTTTGCAGTCCTACTTGTTACATTGCTTATAAGTAATTGATTCTCTATATGTAAGAATGAAACAAACAATGTGATGAAATGACATTACTAAACCTATCTCTTGAAGGCCTTGAAAACTCTCCTTTAGGTCAAATAATACAGAGTTAGATATGTGATAAAACACCTTCTCTAACGAAGAGTCAGGTAATTAACAAACACAGAACATACCCAGTAACATCAAACACGTCAACTTTAGCGCTTTACAATTATTTGTAAGGAGCCGACGACTATTACAGAAAACCTCATATTGGGACCAAGTCAGTGCACCTTATGGATTGATGTTAGTTTTAAAAAAACACATGCATTATACATAGCAATCTACAGGCATGTGCTCCTTCCGGACACACCATTCCAAATTCAGGTTAAATCTGTTTCAAAAATCCGATTTTCTAATTAATTTATGCGTCGTTGTTTCGTGTTAGTGTGTCTAAAAATAAGGTTACTGATTAATGATAATTCTTTCATCCATGCAAGTTGTATTCTTTGCTGTCAAAACAACAATATGTATTACGCAATGTCTTAAATCTTACGACAACAAGATATACAGAAAAAGTAAAGAACAAATGCGGCACAGACAACTTTATTCAATGAACAGGTCTTTAATCTGATGTAATAATATATTCCCTTTTTTCGGCGATTAATGTCCTTTCAACAGCCAGGGGTATATCAGGACGGGTGCCAATAACAGGACAGAAAGGTTCTTATGTGGACTGATGTCAATTAATTAACAGCCAGGGACATATGTGGACGGGTGTTAATCACTGAACAGGGATGGCAATACGAGGACTGTTGTTAAAACAGAACAGCGAGGGTCATGTGAGGACTGGTGTCAGGAGCTGCACCAAGAGCGGAAAATAAAACACAGAAACAAAGAACTGACATGAGAGAAGAAACATATCGAGAACCCTTGCGTAACAATAAGGTTAACATGTCTTCAAATAATTAAAGACTCGCTGTAGGTCATAGGTATAGTATTTGATTATGATCTGTCTTTGGAAGATGGAACACTCGTACTAGAACAAGAACTTCCGAGAAATCGATACACCAACCCTAACACACAAAAAGTCGATGACTATTGTTTTTATTGAATACTGCACAATCTTTTTGGATATCGTTTCATCGTTCCAATGCCATACTGTATCCATCTGAAACACTAGTATACATGTTTATTTCGGCGTCTCATTTTGGGATATAATTACATAGCTCCCTCTGTCGACCGCATTTTATCTTATCCTATCCATTGTTAGGACAATATAGACGGTGGAAAAACGTCGTTGTCATGGCAACACATTACTTCCTGTCCCAATCTGTGTTTTGCTTCACTTTCCAAGCCCAGGATTTCCGAAAGCGTGTACGACAACTGTAAAATAAATAGCTGCTGATGATATCTATTGATATTTTATAATTATATATAAAGTTAAGTATAACTAATTTATTGGTTCTTTTGATAATATTTTTAAAAAGAGTCAATTGAAAAAAGTACCTGAATCAATCACAGTGCCTCTTGATGAAATGTAAACTACTCCGATAGTTCTGATCACACTGGCTATTGTGTAACCCTGGAAATTTATCACAGACGTTTCAAAACACCCAGTGTTAAACTATTAATATTATAATGAATTGAACTCAAGACTTAGCCTTACCACAATGACCAGAATGAAAATTTGACTCATCCTTATATCCCTTCCATTTAAATATGCATACTTTCCAAAATTCTAGAATTCTAGAAAGCTTGATTCACAAGCATTTTCTGTCTCTTTTGAAAAAAACCTTACCTAGAGAGAAGCTTTCGCATTTCCTTTTCTTCAAATTAAAGACGTGCCCTTCCCCACAAATTGTTGACAAAATCATATTCAAAATTGATTTAGCGACCGAAATTTTCCCGCCAAATGCCCTGTTTCTTGTACTGTCATTAGTTGTATCTACTCCGCTTGAGTCCTTACTTCCTGTTGACTGTGGAATTCGGAGTGCATTTGCCCCAGTTGAAGTCAGTTCTGAAAATGAAATAAATTTTACAAAAACTCGATTAAGTTGTTGGTTGGTACAATTGGTCTTTAACGAATGTGTTTTGCTCTTGTCAAGTAAGAGAGATCAGGTAAAAAAATCAAAAGTTTTTGTTCATGGAAAAGTGCACAGTCATCCTAAGACAAAATGAAACTAAACGTAGAAGACAGATAGGCATTAAAACTAATATAATATGGTGTAATTATACCATTACAATGATTCAAACACATTTGTATGTTGTAAATATTGAAATATTCAGTATATAGTTATATAGTATTGAGACTTTTAATAAAACAACATCGTAATACATATGGGTAATATATTATATGAAATTATGACATATTTCACAAATTTTGCGTTTTTATAAGATATATCCGAAATATTTATAGATACTTCAAACAATAACAACGTACATCAAGAAACATAGAATTATCAAAATGTTCTCATATTTGTGTAGTTAAAGAAGTAGGTTAACATTTTCTTTACATATTATTTTCCTGTAATATTTACAATATGTGATAATTCCTAAAATAACATGTTCCATTTCATGAAGGTATATAACCCACCTTTGACTTAATTTCTTGAAAGACAATTTCAAATAAATTGTATTCATTCATTCATTCGTTTCTTTGAAAGACAATTTTTAAAATAATTCATTTATTGATTCCTTCATTAATTGATTAATTCATTCATAAGTTTCTTGAAAGACAATCTCAAATAAAGTTTATTCATTCATTCATTCATTTGTCTCAAAGACAATCTCAAATAAATTTTATTCATTCATTCATTCATTCATTCATTCATTCATTTGTTCAAAGACAATCTCAAATAAATTTCACTCATATATTCGTTCATTTCGTGAAAAACAATCTCAAATAAATTTCAATCAATACACTATAATAAATATTAGCATTGCGTTATGTCTCTTAAGGTATTATATCACTTACGTGGTTGTTGCTTTGCTTCACTGACCAGTAGGAAAACACCCATAAAAATAAGGAGGTGTAGAGGAGAAATCTTCATCATGATGATCGTGGAGTGGTCAGTACTGACCAATGGTCTCTAATGCCAATATGCCCGTTATGATAACCCTTTTATACACACCCCAAGTTCTTACTTACAAATCCCGTGTGTTTGACGTCATCAGTCACATAAACAAAACAACATGGTTTGATGTTCTGTCCTTAAAATCAATTAGGTGTTTAGTTAAATTTATTGATATACTCACACCTTTCTCGGGATTATCACAAATACGATTGGATTAACAGAGTTTATAGCATTATACGGTGAACACCTGTATTTACTTTAAACGGATACATACATTTTACATATATTTCAATTTACA